CATTTTCTCCACAAGCACTTTACAATCCATACTAGACGGTGTTTTTGGTGATATAGGTACACCTAAGTATTTAAATGGTAGTCTCCCTTCTTTATACCATATTAACTCACATATCTCATTCATCTGTTGCCTATTAATATTGGCACTGAAAATATTGGACTTTGTACTATTTGTTGTCAACCCTGATGCTTAAGAGAAAGATGTCAGACCTCTGATTAACATTACTGCATGTGGTTCACCTTTGCAGAATAGAAGTACATCATCTCTAAAGCATAAATGGTTCAGCCCTAAACTCTTGCATTTTGGATGATATGCAAACCCTTGTTGTTGTCCAACCATCTCCATTATTCTTGCGAGATATTCCATACATATCACAAATATCAATGGTGAGATTGGAGCCCCTTGTCTCAATCCTCTCTTCCCTTCAATGTTCCCATATAAGCCCCCATTTATTTCTAATGAATAACTAGTAGTGGTGATGCACTCCATAACCCATTGAATAAATGTTGTATGGTAGTTCAGTGCCATCATTATTTCCTTGACAAACACCCATTCCACACTGTCATAAGCTTTCTTCAAGTCAATTTTTATCAGACAACTACTTGTTGTGGCCTTTCTGTTATATAGTCTAACTAGATCATGGCATATCAATATATTTTGTACTATTGATCTTTCTTCAATAAAAGCACTTTGACTTGGTGATATTATGTTTGGCAAGCTTTCTTTTAGCCTGCTACACAATACTTTTGAGATCACTTTGTATATAGTACTACATCAAGCTATTGGTCTGTAGTCTCCTACTAATTCAACATGTGTCCCTTTTGGAATCAAAGTGATGACAGTTTTGTTCAGAACTTTCAGCATCTTGCCAGATTTAAAGAATTCAGTTACATATTCCTCTACATCTTGCCCAGCTATGTTCCATACATCTTTGACGAACTGGCTACCATATCCATCAATCCCTGGTGATTTCTCCCCTGGTATACTCCATAATATTTTTTTAATCTCTTCTCTTGTGACTGTTTTCACCATTTTCTATTTCTGAGCTTCATCAATGATTGCCCCTTTACTTATAAGTGCATTACATACATGTGACCTCTCCTTATTTTTTGTTCCTAGTAGCTTTGTATAAAACTCAATAAAAGCTTGTGCCACTATTTCTGGTTAGTCCTGTTCTGTCCTAGTAGTATCTTTGATGGAGAAAATCCTCTTTTCATTCCTTCTTGCCTTCACATACCCATGAAATATTTTAGTATTTTGATCTCCATATTGCAGACATGTGATCTTACTTTTCTGCCTTAGGAATTTCTCTCTTGCATGTTGCCACTGCATGCATTCTCTAGCTTAGTTGTGCTCCTCCTCCTTTAGGCTCATATTATAAGAGTCCTTTTGTATCCTCATCTGGCACACCTTGAGTGTCTCCATACTTTGTTCAGCTTTGATTTATACTACTGCAAATTTTCCTTTGTTCAAGTTTTTCATTACTCTTTTCAGTCTGTTTAGTTTTCCCATCATTTGATACATTTTAGTCCCTTTGATGTGCTTTTTCCAGTTCTCTTTTACTTTTTCATGGAAGTCACTAGCCATGCTCCACATATTAAACTATCTAAATATTTTTTGTTGTATCTTTCTTGGTTGCTCCCATCTTACCAATGATGGGCAATGATCAAACAATCCCCCATTTTGGTAGTGCACTTCCGAGTCTGGTAGTGTAGTCATACAATCATTATTTGTTAATACTCTATCAATCCTGCTCATCGCTTTATCTTCTCCTTCCTGTTTGTTGTTCCAGGTATAGAAGGATTCTGATGATTTCATCTCTTGCATCTCACATTTTAGCATACACTCTTTAAATCCTTTTATTTCTGCATAAGTAACTTTGCTTCCAATTCTTTCATCTGATTGCAGTACATTATTGAAGTCACCCATTATTGCCCAAGGTCCTTTACTTTGTTTATGAATTTCCTTTATGTCTTCCCATAGTTTTCTCCTCATGCCATTGTCATTGAATCCATATACCCATGTAACTTCCATTTCCTTTTTTGTTCCAATGTGCTTAATAGCACAATGAATCACATGTTCACCAGTTCTTCTAATGTCCACCTTATAGATATGAGGTTTCCATAATAGCCAAATTCTTTCACCCGGGTGTTTATCCAGATTAGTAAAAAATGACCATTCCCTACAAAGATTAAGAAAGGCTTTTAAAATCTTTGTTCTCTTAATCCTTGTTTCTAGGAGCCCAAACATTCCTACTTGAAAGTTATGCATAAAGAGCAGCACATCCCTCTGTTTTTGAGGTCTGTTTAGGCCCCTTACATTCCATAATCCTAACTTATCCATGAGGAAGGGGCCCTGCCCCATTGCCTCCACTTCTTGGACCCTCCCCTTTTTTTGTCACTCCTGCATTTGATGTACTAGTTTCCTGAGCCTTTTGATTACCACCAGTTATTTCTTTTGTGTTCCTCAATGCATCGAAGATGTTTCCTATTGTTATTGGTTTCCTTACTTGCCAATTCAATAACATCTGATTTCTGCCTTTTTCTACCCCTCCTTGTTGCTGCTTTGTGGCTTCTTGTCTCTCATTTCCTTATTTGATTTGTCTTGTGTTTCTTTTGTTTGTGCAGGTTTTTCCCCTTGCTTCTGAATTTTCATCTCCTTGCGTGTGTCTTCTCCATTATTTTACTGTGTTTGTTTTTGCCGTTGCATTATTTCATTCCTCCTGCATTCCTCGATGGTGTGTCCAAAGTTATTACATTTCGTACACAAGACTAGTTTCCATTCATATACTACTTCATGTTCCACTATCTTCCCCGTCTCATTTTCAAACATCACCTTGGAAGGATACTGTTGATTTGGTATCATTTCAACTAGTACCCTCGCAAATGTTAGCCTCTCCTTCTTTGTGGTTGCATTATCCGCACGAAGAGGTTTACCCATTAGCCCAGCAATTTTTGTTAGAGCACATTTTCCCCAATATTTGATGTCCAGGGCCATTAAACGAACCCAGACTGGAATTCGTTCAATAGAGTCTTTGGTACATTCCATATCCAGCCTCCATGGTTTCACCACAATTGGCTTTCTATCAAACATTTGTACTCCCTCCTCCACCACCTTATTCGGACTCTCTAATTTATGAAATTTTACAATAAACACCCTATATTTATTTGCACAATTTTATCAATTCCTAGTGTACCCCATATGCGCCGAAAATATCCCTCCATTACAATTTAGGAGGATTGGGCCCAAGCACTTAGCAGATCACTGTTGTGTTCCAGTATTCAACTTCTTCCTGAATGTCATCCATTGTTATTTTCACATTGATTACCCTTTGTTCCCCGTTAGCAAGTCATTATCAGTTTTCTCTGGGATCGGCCCAACAATTTTACTCCATGATGAACTTAGGGTTTGTGATTTACCTTGTCCTGAGCTTTCCGCTTCTTCTTCTACAACATCCGCCCATGATTTGGTGGATTGTTGTCTCGGCGTTTGAACTAATTTTCTTGTTTGATTGATTCGTACTGGTGTAACCATCTGCTCAATCGGTAATGGTACTATCCCTTGTATCATATTTGGATTTTTGAATTTTCTCGCATCTGCAGTTTGAGGTCCATTCCATGGCTGTTGATTTCCCCCACTTTGTGTGTTTTTTCCCCTCTCGATTTTGTATTCCTCGCCATGGTTAACTTTCACTAAGGATGAGTGCTCATTCTAGAGAGAGAAGCTTTTAGATTTTAAATGTTAGTTATCGAATAAAACTGCTAAAACTGTTTGATATATTGCTAATTCAAAATTCTAACTCTTGTAATGTTCAGTAACAAGCCGAGCATTATGAGTTTTGTTACTCCACGAAAAGCTTTTTAAAAATTAATCGAGTTAATATTTAAGAAAAATATTCTGTTAATTATCTACTTATTTAATAAAAGGGTAAAAATCATTTTGATCCCCCAACTCTACCTTAAAAATCAAACGACTACTCCAACATTAAACAATATACATTCTACTCCTCCTACCATATGCATTGTCTATTTTTCCCTTGACATTTTCAATTCTTCCTCTATGCATATAATTGTTTTATATTATATAAGATATACTTTATCTTTACCCATTTAAATATCTTATTATTAGTTATAAAATTAAGTTCATTAAAATATAACTAGAATAGTACTTTTATGAATTTGTAACAAAATTTATGTTTGCTTTTTGTGATTAGTATTTTAATATTACCCATTAAGTATATATTTAAGTTTTAATTTATCTTTTATTCTCTATTTTATATATATATATATATATATATATATATATATATATATATGTTTGAATTTTTATTATTATTAACGAAATATTTCTAAATTATAAGTTAGAGAACATTTAAGGCATAAAATATCTAATCTTTAGGAATTTATTACTATAAAATTTATCTCTATATTTAATTGCTATTTTTTATATTACTGCACTAAGTATATCTTTATGCAGTTCTCACTAATTTTTATTATCAATATGCATAAGGAGCGTTTTGAGTTTTAATTGATATTAATAAGATTTTTTTACTCTATTATTTTAATGGAGCTCACTTATTTTATTATTCAGTTTCAATTAAATTTAATATGATTGATAACTATTTTTCACTTCTTTTTTTTAAAAAAATCATTTTTTCTACAGGTTAATTCATAATATAGATCAACAAAAATATTGTGATATTAAAAAAGTAAAAAAATAAATAGATAAAGACATGATAGACTTGAGGGTAAAATAGATATTTTAAAAATATAATTGAGTTTTGAGTTTGGAGGAGCGGAATGTCAATTGTTTATAGTTAGAGGAGAAGTTTGATTTTTAAGGTAAACTTGACGGATCAAAATAATTTCCACCCTTAGCAAAATCCATTTAATTTATGAAAGTTAATTAACAGATATATTGCGGTAAATTAAAATACTAACGGAGAATACCAAAATGGCAATTTTCCTAATTTATGTTTCCTTAACAAATTCTTCATCAGTCTATAAAGCAGGCAAGGACTCTCCTCGCCGATAAAATTCCGAAAATTCAAACGACTCTTCGTAATCAAACAATCCCTCCACTGTCACAAAATCACCGTTACTGTAGACGCCGTAGCTATTTCCGTCACCGGCTCCAACGTTCATCCCGAACTCGAACGAGTCAAAACTCTGTAACTCGCTCTCAAATCTAATTCCAGCGGCATTCTCCGGCGTGTTAATTCTCGCGTTAACATGGTCATCAGAAGCTGAAATGGTGGGAGGGAGGCCGAGATCGTCATCCGAAGCTTCTAGAAGGTAGCCTAGGTCTGGTTGAGCAGGCTGAGTTGACGGATGAACAATCTCTTCTTCGAAGCTCCTGATTACCGAGTCAAGATCCTGAACCTCCGGTAGATGGTCTGTAACAGTTTCCGGTTCATCTAAGATGTCCAGTATTTCTTCTCTGATCTGCTTGACGTCCGGCGAGTACAAGCCTAGGTCGGCATCGGTCTCGGCGGAGTTAAGGTTCACCTCAGGCTCCGAGTTAACTCGGTTCAACTCGTGTGAGTTGAGAACTGCCTCCTCCTCCTCTATATGCACTCGCTTTGACCCGGCCGAGGCCGACTTCGAGTCTTCTCGGGATCGCTTGTTACGGTTTATCTCGGGTTTACCCACCTCCATAAGGTGAATGGTAAATTAGGAATTAGATTGATGTAAGGGGATATTTTAGTAAAAGCACAACAGAAATGAAGGGTTGGTTGAAGTGAAATGAAAAAAGTGGTTAGGAAAGTAATTACAGTCGTTTGGTTAAAGGTTATATATTTTCTAGTCTACTAGAAAGACAAAGAAAATGGTTAAAAATGCTAAGATTATGCTTGTAGGGTTGGATTTGTAGAGTAGCCAGTGAGGGAGAAAATGAAGCAAAATATTGGGTTATATAGTAGGCAAGGATAGAAATGCAAATGATATAAATTTTGAAAGTGACAGAGATATGATGTTTGTTTGGTTGAGATGGAAACATGTGACTGAGAGGAGTGGGTGGGGCTTACGTGGATGGAGGGAAAAAAGTATTTTGAGGGGGCATTTATATTTGATAGAGAGGTGGGTGGGGGAGGAATTTTAGGGAGAGATTCAAATTTTTGGGTGGTATTTTAATAGTGGAAGGAAAATTGCAAGTCCACACCTTCACTATTTCCATCCCTATCATCACAATTTCACATACATCTTGCCTTATTCTTTTCCTTTTCTTTTCTTTTTTTTATACTAAGAAGATTTGGATTCTCCTTTTTCTTGTCACTTTCTTGTTTCTGCAAGTAATAAATTCATAACATTTTACTTCCATTTGAGTTCCGAATTTCAAGTCCGCTTCCGAGACCACTGTTTTCGGATGGGTTAAATTGGAGTAATTGAGTCGGAATTTAAGATTTATGGGTTCAAATTTATAATTTTATTACATCCTATATAATTTAATAAAATCAAAATTTATTACTTTATTATATATATATTTAATAATTTTTTGAATAAAAATATAAGGTATGAGTGACGAAGACAGATTTATAGTCCAAATTATGGGGTACGAGAACCTATGATCTTTTTGTTAACTGAATATTTTATGTACATATTTTTAGTATTGGTTTAATATTATTAGTTAACGCCTATTGAGTTATTTATTCAAAAGAACATGAGTAGATACTCATATTCAAAATATCCAGAATCCGCTTCTAATATTAAGTGAAAATATATAGACCCATAGCCTCTGCACTTCCTTTTTCCACAAGTTGGTTACTGTGGTGATTTGAGCTGAGGTCTCTCAGAAATTGCCGCTCTATCCCTCTGGGATATGGGTAAGGTATGAGTACATTATATTCTTCCTAAATCTCACTTGTGGAATTTTTCTGGATTGTTATTGTTGTTGTTTATTGGGGTGATCAGTTTCAGCAGACTTATAGCCTGTTTGGCCAAGTTTCTGTTTATTTTGAGAAATATTTTTTTTCAAAAGTGTTTTTTTTTTTAAAATTCTTTGGTGAGAATCGGTTTGTGTTTGGCTAATTAATTTAAAAAGTACTTTTGAGCAGTAATTAGTGTTTCGCCAAACTTTTGAAAACTGCTTCTAATTGTATTTTTGTCAAAAGTATTTCTCAGAAAAGTGCTTTTGGAGAGAAGTTACATTTTCTGCTTCTCAAATTCTGTTTCTGCTTCTGCTTCTCCTCAAAAGCATTTTTTTCCTTAAAAACTTGGCCAAACACCTCAATATTTAGCCAAAAGTACTTTCGGCAAAAAAAAAGTATTTTTGACCCCAAAAAAAGCTTGGCCAAACATGCTAATATTTCCCTAACCAACGATCTTTTCTTGTTTAATTCCTCTATTTTCTTAAATTATTCCTAATAAAAATTTTGACAACGTCACATTATCGGGATTATAATCTTACTATATTAAAAGTAAGAAGACCCTTAATAAAATATCGTTCGCCTTTTTTATCCTTTAAAAAATATATTTTATATTGGATAAATTTATAAAATCATAAAAATTACCTAATATTTAGGAGTTCGAAACCAAATAAATTTGTTTCCAGTATAATTCTGTATTGGAGATCTTTTCCTAATAAGTCTGCACGAAATATTAAGAAAATAAAAACGAATGCAAAAAATTAGGGGAAACGTTTCTTTTCCAACAAGAACTCGCCCATTTGTGTAAATCTTTTATTTTTTGTCCTTGTATTTATTCATACCGGACCAATTTTGCCTCTTTAATCCTTTCATACGAACATTTCGTTGTTCTTAAGATTTTAATTATAAGTATTCCTTAGAAGCTTGGTTGTTTACTCCGTTTCTTTTCTACTCTTAGAATCTACTAAGACATGCTAGAAAGAATATCTACCATTAGGTTTTTAAAATAGTAATTATTGTTGAAAAAATAGTAATAATCATTAATTTGTGATAAAATTTTAATTTATCGTTTGTTGAGGAGGAAACATACAAGTTTGAAATATCATTTAAAATTTAATGCATATTCCCGTTAAATAGATGGAAAATGTCTTTGTCTTTTGGTAAAAAAGAAATTAATATTTACTAAAAATATTTATTACATAATTTTCCTAAAAAATAGGAATTAGCGATAAAATTCATCTTGGCTTATAGGAATTTGGATAATATGTCGTTATCGCCACTAAATAAAATTAGCAATGAATTTTTATTATGTAAGTATAAAATTTATTCGTCGCTAATTCTTTTTCTTTTTATAGTTGACGTCTCTAGAGTACATATATCTAGATGATCATATTGATACGAAACTAAAACAAAATAACGGGATACATAATAAATCATCCATATGCTTTCAAATATATCTTGGTTACATGTTATCATGCGTAGTTAGGCAATCCGTTATTTTATTGACTAAATAAGATTAATATTTATCATTTTCAAGAGCTTAAATTTTTTATATTTTATTTTATAACTCATATAAATTTTAATAATATCTTTATGTAATTTTTATAAATTTATACATTGATATATAGTACAAACGCATAGCCGCGTATAGTAAAATTAGCTATTAAAAAAATATATGTGACTAGTCAACTTTTGGATCCATGCAAGGTGCCACGTCTTTAATCAGAACCACCACATGGCCAAATATAGCGCAATATCCGCTTGCAAAGGGCAGAGATTGGCCTTTCACCTTCCTAATGAGTTGGGGAAAACAGGGGACTCGTCTTACGCAACGACTGTTGTGTATATTTATCATTTTCATAAACAAACCAATATGATGATGTACTTGCGCAGAGAAATTGATGACAGCGCCGTTTTATAAAGTTTTAGGTTGGTGTTATCTTTTTCTTATTATATATTACTCCACATAAACCCAACTAATAATGTACACAACAGATGATGACACCATTTTCATTGGGTTATATTTTGGTGCAGTGTTTTCTTCCAAATGGCTTTTGGTGAAAGGACTTTAACTTTTCAGAAATCTAAAAACGAAAAGAGAGAAAACGGAGAGATTTTTATTTTTACACATTTTTTTTTTTTTTTAATATTATGAAGGGTTTGTATTGGGTAAAATATGCTACGGCACGTGGCCAACAAAGAAGAGGATATGTGGAACCAAAGCCGGGAGGACATAAAACCGGGCGCAGCTATTCCGTGTGTCACCGAAAAAGGCAAGTTCATAAAGGCATTAAGCACGATGCACCCGGTGGCAACTAATGAAAAATATTTTACAGCATTAAAAAGTAACGGCTCGTTACAAAGTTGTGAGCATTTTTGTTTACCGTTAGGTTTTCATTATCGCACTTCAATAATTGTCACTAGTGGTGAACCCTACCATTATGCCCACTGAGCTATAAATAATATGCTCAATGCCCATTGTAAAGACAGGTTTTTAGACATTAAAGAATATATTCTAACACAACATCTTGATACTATTCTTCTCTCTCGAGCTTGTTGATTATTGTACCCGGAGACTCTGTCCTCGGGCTCATCAGATCTACAGTTCCATCTGTATTTTGAGCTAAGTAGTTCGCATCCAAACTAATTAATTCATCACTTCTTCGGATCAGACCAAACTATCTGTCTAGAAACCACGAACAAATTCAACTGTACCAATTTTTGGGTAAACAGTTTGGCGCCCACCGTGAGGCCTAGACAGCCGTGCGATTAAATTGGTCCTTATTTTTTCTCCATTCACAAGCTTTGATCGTTTTCTATCTTAGCAAAAAATCACAAAAAATGGCAATCAATACCGTTAACAACGCCCACAATCCCGAAATTCAAGGGGGACATTCTCATTTTGAGGACTCAATCAGCAACACTCGCAATGAGGGGGATGACGCTACACCGCTATATGGCGGGAGATACCCTAGACAAGTACGAGAGGCAACTCATGATGGTGCCGACGAAGGGCGCGTGGCGGATGCAGTAAGGATCCTGCAAGAGCAACAAGCAATCATCCTAAGTCATCTCACGCGACAAGATTAGGTTATGACGGAACTAAAGCATGCACTGTCAGGTGCTTCAAATAATGCGAACAGGCGAGATCCAAGTCCTCATGTCGTTCCTGCAAATCAAACATCGTAGAGAATCGACAACAACACTCCCAAGGGTGAAGTTGGCTCCGACGGGGCTGTGGGGAGTAGATCTGGCCTCAACAACGACAACGACCCATTTAAGGAAGAACTTTTGCGGTTCATGAAGGAAGTTAATTCCCACATGGATCAGATCTCGGGCGCACCACCGATATTGAAAGGTCCGAACTCGAATAAGTATATTCAATTATCGTACAAGCCGAGTGCGGCCCCGGAACTAATCCCTAAGCGGTCTAGAATACCTTAAGTGCCCAAAAAGGATAGAACTTCAGATCCACATGAGCACATTACCACATATACAACGGCGGTAAAGGAAAATTATTTGGCTCCTCACGAAATTGAGTATGTATTATTAAAGAAATTTGGTGAGACTCTCACGAAGTGAGCCTTGACACGGTACTCATTACTGCCCGAGCACTCCATAGATTCCTTCGAAATGCTCGCAGATTCATTCATCAAGGCCCATGCCGGTGCCAGAAAGGTACAAGCCCAAAAGACTGACATATTCACAATCACGCAGGGAGAATTCGAGTTATTACGAAGATTCGTTTGCTAGTTCCAGAAGAAAAGGATGTTGTTACCGGCTGTCCCGGATGAA